GTGATCATTTCAAATAATTGTCCCTCCATCTCCATAGTAATGTGGTTTAGGACCCCCTTGCCCCGCCATAGGTACCCAAATCCACATATGCTGGAGTTCCTTATATACAAGCGTGCAATGTTAACATATAACCTACACTATCCTCCTGTATTCTGTAAATAATCTCTAGAGTACTGAAAATATCTAATTAAATGTAAAAGCTATGTAAGTAGTTTTTATACTGTGTTTTCTTTGGAAACAATTACAACAAAAATCTGTACATGTTAAGTACAGATCTAAATTTTCCCCTAAATATTTTCAACCCATGGTCAGTTGAATCAATGAGTGCAAAACTCTTGGACACAAAGGATCAACAGTCTATAGACTCAAAACATCAAATAGCAGTATTTAAATATATACTGTATTTGTTGATTTTCTTCAATAAAGCTGGAAAAAAGTACTAAAAAGTACTTCTATTCTTCCCTGTCCCCTTCACCCTTATTGTGAGTTAGCATTCAAATATCACAGAGAACATTTGACCTTTGGTTTTTGGGATTGATCTATTTCACTTAGCATGACACTGTCCAGTTCCATCCATTTACCAGCAAATGCCATAAGTTCATTTCTCTTTATCACTAAGTAGCATTTGATTGATTGATTGTGTGTGTGTGTGTGTGTGTGTGTGTGTATACCACATTTTCTTTGTGCATTCATCTGTTGAAGGGCAGGCACTATGCTGATTCCATACTTTAGCTATTGTGAATTGAGCTGCTATAAACATAGATGAATACATGATTAGTGTAATTCCACATCACACACAACCAGAAAAATTGGAAGTTATACTCTGTGTATGTATAATATGTTACAATACATTCTACTGCCACGAATAAATAATAAGAATACATTTTTAAAAATCTGAAATGAATAAAAATGACATAATTGATGAGGTAAAGTAGATCGCCTCATGAATCAATGGACATCATTTTATTTTTTTCCTTTATTTTCATAATACCAGAAAAAAATGATGTTCACACTAATGCAGCAGATGCAGCACTATGTTTTACAATGAGAATTATAATTTCTCATACTATTGTCAGGAAAAATTGTCAAAGACTGAAATGGGAGGGATGAATTACTATAAGGCTTGTCTGATTCACTTTCAGTGTATCTTTTTTGCTTTAGAAATATTGTAGAATTTTGTATATCAGTCAAAATTGACAGAAATGCAAATGATGTCTGCCCATAAAAATGAAAATGAGTTCAGTCCAGTGGAATACCATTTATTTTCTGGGTACAGTGATTACTTTGCATCTTTCTGAGTTCATTTCAGTACAACTAATAGCCTGAATGAGTGTATGATTTGAATTACCCTTGAACCAGTTAGTGGTCCCTCTTTTATTAACTAATAAATTGTTTTATAGGTGTTTAATTTTTATTTGCATAGAAATCATAATTTTATCTTTAAAATTAATTTCTTAACAATATTATGTTATATTTTATTACATTTTATATATTTTTTCTTTTTTTCCTTCCTCCCAAGTCTGCATAGACAAATTAAAACTGTGATGGGGACATTTATACCTTCTAGTCACGTTACTACTAGCACTCTTCATATGCTATGGATAGATCTGTGATGTTGAAAGGCACTTTAGAGACTGTAGACTATTGAGAGACATCTAATTTTACATAACAGAAGCCGAGGCCCAAAGAAAATCAAGGGATGGGTAGAAGATCTAAACTAGTTAACAAGAGAACCAAAAATATACCCTAACTCCTAAGCTGTATTTTTTTTCTAAATTTGCTCTATTTTCTTTTATATAGAGCCACAAAATAGGAAAAATGGTTAAGTGATCTTCAGACTTCAGCCTACCTATCATATTCCTATATATAGCAGCATACTCTAGGTTGAAAATTTCTACTTCATTGAAATATAAGTATTTTAGACACAGATCTGCTGTGCAATCACACTTTTGATTACATTTGGCTGTCCATATTTCATAGTTAATAATCAAACAAACAATAAAACCTTGTAGTTTTCTACTCACCAACCCTATATGCCTTTTTTTGAATCAATTTTGTAGTAACTTATGCAATTATCCCACCAGCAGTCCTCTTCACGCCACCCTTCACACCAAAATAATGAGAGAAAATGTGTCTTTCACTAGACATGAACTAGCTACTTAAGACAAAGACCTCAGTCTTTCCTAAGTTTCCGGCATTTTTTATTTTTTTTTTTTACAGAACTCAAATACAAAGTTAAAATTCAAATAATCTCCTGAGCTGAATTCAGAACAAACAGCTCATATCACTTAGTGTGGTAAGGGAATTAAATAATTATGAATGAGCAGAATTAACTTAAGGGTAAGTTCCATTTCACACTCTTAGCCAGTGATGGAATGCAGCCTTCTATCACATTCTTGTCACCATCATCCAACCCAATTATTGACTCAGTGTTAAAACTCAAATTACCCTAGATTTGGAGAAGAGCAAGGACTGATAACCATGCAAAGGATGTATTATGCCGAGGATCTGAAGTGTGACCATCTTGTCTGATGCCTGAAATCTGAACTTTCACATTGTACTTTGTAAAGTTTAAATATGGCAAAGATTCTAATGTATGGGTTTTCTTCTACTTTTTTACTCCTCCTTTCAATTTTTGGCACTCTGCTTCAACACGTCCATTAGAATGGGGGGAAATTCTTGAAGTCATTTTGGAAATAGATTCAACTTGTCCCTGGACATCCCTTTTTTCCTTCTTGAGGTTGTTATTGGTTTTAAAACTTTCTTAAAACCATCACTCCTGTAGTGCCTTGCCTTCCTTGCTAATCTTAGAAGTCCTTAGGTTCCCAGGACTTTCTCAATGGACATGTATATGACCCATTTGTTTCTCTTCCCAAAAGGCTCTTTAGTCCACATTTTACTCATCCCCCCTTATTTACAGAAAGTGAGTCATCCACCCTCATTGTAATGACAGTGACTCAAACTCCCTGGAATCTGTTGGTCTTAGTAATAAAAGATTGAACCGCTTGTTTACACCAAAGTCAACTAGTAAGTCTACACCAGATGACATATTCTTATTAATTATGACTCTTTAAATGTGAGTGACACAAATCCTATTTTATTTTAATTAGTTTAAACCAAAAGAGGAATTTTTTGGGCCCATATAATCAAGGCACAGGAAGGATAAATAAAGGTGACTTGAGAGATGATGGCAGCTAGAGGATCCTAGGTCACCACGAGCTTTTACTCTTTGTCCCTGTGTTCTATCCTATTCTATCTCTGAGCAGGTTACTGTACATAGACGGCCTTGTTCCCACACCTCCATGCTCAACCCACATAGCATGAAAAAAGGATGCCTTCTCTTCTCAGGTCCAGTTAGAAAACACTCCAGGAAAAGGTGTTAGGCATACAAATCAGTAAACACTCAGAGCATTGGAGTAAGTTATAATCTTTGATAATTATTCTACCACTTGTGAAGAGTTATTACTAAATCATTATGGCAATCTTTTTACCTAAATTTTCACACTATAATCAGCCTAGGAAACAATTGACTCTAAATTAAAAGAAACATAAAGGATGTACTTCTCAGATGTGAATGAAGTTCTACAATGATTAATTTTTATTCTCACTGTTGCAGTTGAGCACTGGATCCCAAGGAAACACAGGTTTTAAGATTTAGAACACTAGATCTAATCCAAAGCAAAACCTCATCTAACTTTTGAAGGATTCGGTAGCCAAAAAAGTACCCAAGTCATAATAATATTATATATATATATAAAATATTATATATATAAATCATAAATCATATATATAAATCATAAATATAGTCAACCTCTCATATGTGTATGTTCCACATCCGTAGATTTAGTCAACTGTGTATTGAAAATAGTTTTGAAAAAAATTGTGTCTCTACCATATGTGTATGAACTTTTATGTCTGCTCATCATTTCTTAAACAGTTCAGTGTAATACATATTTATATTGTATTATGTATTATGAGTAATCTAGAGATGATCTAAAGTATACAAGAGGATTGCATGTTTAGATGAAAATACTTAACCATTTTACACCATTTTATTTAAGGGGCTTAAGCATTTAAGCAGTTTGGTGTTGTGAGACTTTCTGAAACTAATTCCTTGCAGATACCAAGGAACTACTGTATATATTACTTTATAAAGAGCCATCATATGCCTCCCTAAAACTTTTTTTTTATTTCTTTGTCCTAACCTTTAAGTCCCTCTCTGTCCTTCTCTCTCTTTCTCTCACTTTTACACACATACACAGGGACCAACTCATTTTCACAAATTTTTAAAGACAACCATATTTCCCTCCACATGGTGTTTTCTCTTTTACATAACAGCATATTGGATTTGCTCAAATATTTTATATATTGAAAAAAATATTTCTTCACCTAGTTGACATCATCTTGAGAAACTCTCAGTATTGTTTTAAAAGTGTAAACTCAAAACCAATGATGGCTGTCAGCATAGGTTGTTCTCATTGAAAGCACGATGAGAATACTGGCTTCATTGTGGATATCTTCTGCTGTTAAAAATATGACAGCAGGCAAGTTCTTGTTAGCATTTAGACAATGGAATGTCCAGACCATATCCGAACAAAAGCCAGATGTTTTTTCCTAGGGAATGGGTTTCCTAGGGAAGGTACTCTGAGAACCTGGAGAACCAAAAGCAGATCCCAAATCAAACTTTGAAAATAAAAAAAAAAGCAAAGCCACATATGGTATGCAAGAGTGAATGAGTTTATTAGGTCAAATATAACTGAACGTCCATAAATTTTATAGGATGAATTTATGTACTTATGAATTACTTGTTTCTAAATTATAGACACTGGACTCTATATTTTATTCATTCATTAATTTCACAGCCTGAAAGTGCTAGTCTGTCAACCTGTGCTTGATGCGAAAGAAAGGGTTCTAACATTGCTGAGAAACTAAGAACAGCAGCTCTAAGGAGACAGTGAGACATTTGGCTTAAAAGATCTAGAAATTCATCAGATTTATCTCTAGAAGGATGACCCACAGGTTGGTCTGTAACAAGAAGACTGGAAGCTCCTAGAAGCCACATAGGTTGGGTGGTGGAATCCAGATCCATAGCCCAGGGAAGGGCAGTCATGGATTCTATAACCCAGAGGTCTGAAGTGGATGGATCCACAGCCTGAGGGATAGCAGCTCTTTGATCGGTAGCCCAGAGAACAGGAACTTCTAGATCCATAGCCTAGGGAATGACAGCTTCCAGAAACATGGCCCAAGGAATGGCAGCTTCTAGAGCCATAACCCAGAGAGTGGCAGCTTCTAGATCCAAAGCCCAGGGAGTGGCAACTGCTGGACCCAAAGCCCAGAGATCCAGCATAGGTGCTCTGGCAGGGACTGCAGTGGGTGAAGGTCCTTGGGTGGTAGCAGGTCCTGGACACCACACAGGAATTCTGGCATCTTGAGGGCCTGTGGAAGATCTCCTGACAGCCCCTGTAGTGAGAGGAGCCCAGGTGGCAGGTCCTGGGATGGTGGAAGTTGGTGGTATAGACCAGGTTTCTAGGGTACGAAGAACCACAGAAGGAGCGTGAATAGGGCAGGTGGCCCCCAAAGGAGTGGGAGAAGTATCCAGAGTGACAGCTGTGGGACATGATGAGAGATGTGAGGTTAGCTGAGTGGATCTGAGAAGATGCTCTGAGTTTCAATGTCAAGGTTATATATACTCCAGGTTATATATACTCTTGCACCTGGGTGTGTCCAATTTCCTGATGCTCCATCTTTCTCCCTCACCTTTTATATGAGAATGTTTTCAAGGTTATTGTTGAAGTTTATCACGTGTTCATGTAATTGCACTTTAATCTCTCTGATACACTTACCAGGAAGCCACTCACTCTTTTCTGTCCCTAGAGTTTGTTGTGGTTTGACCTTCAGCGTGACAGTTGACCATGTTTTTGAAGGTCTTGCTCTTACGATCTGTGTGCACACAGAGTCCTTGTTCTACCAAAAGAAATTGCATCAGTTCTTTCTTCAGTTTTATGAAGTCACCAGAAACATCAGTGGTAACTTTTCAAAATGACTCATCCTTTTTTACTTTATAAGCACATTATAGTGAATTTCTTTTAATATTATCTCCACTCAGTTAAATCTCTTTTCTCTCCATCTTGAGCTCAGGATAAGAATTAAGGAGAGCAACAACATTGTTGGTGTTCATATCAATAAACTTCCTGAAAGAGAAGCTTTCACATATTATTCTCACTAAGGAAATAATAAATAAAACACTTGTAGTGAGACTTTTAACAGAAGATTTTTTTCATGCATTTTCTTATTAGTCTATTTTGTAGCTTTTGCTTATTCCCTAAATCAATACGTAGAATCTATTTAAATTTTGTCTTTGTGTTTTGAATTTTTCTATTGGTAGAAGGATAATTAACTACAATATTAATATATACTTCAAAGAACATTTGGGGGATTGTTAGGAATTTCTGCAGATATTAAATTGAAGCCTTAGAACTATGTGCATATTTAACTGAAATTTGGTCAATACATGCATGAAAAAATTATCTCTCAAAAAGTTTCCTTAACTTTCTTCTAATATCTCAGAGAAGTAAGATTGAGTCTTTAACTATGGGTTCCGTATGCAGAGTTAAGTTTCAAATACTCTGAAAACTTTAAAAGCAAATTCTAACTTGTCTCAAAAAAGAATTTATTAAGCTTATTGATACTGATATGAAAGTCTACTAAAGCCTTATTTATCTCTTCTAAGTATGTTTACATTGAATAGTGTTTGGAGGAATTCTACATTTCACTAATCTTCATACATTTTAAGCACAGTTTTACCTTCTGGCCTAGGAAAGAAAAAAAGAAGCTAGATAATCCATACTTAGATTAATGTGGGACAAAAGCCTTCTTATCTGCTTTGTACCCATTCTTCTTCTTTTCAATCTGACGTTTGATTTGGTTTAACTAAGGGAAATGGCATTCACAATTGTCATTGAGAGGGAGCCACTCAACTATCTAAAAATTAATTCTCTTTATTTCCAAGCATGCGCGTGCTTCAGAGCATTAGTTACTTTGTTTTATGATTTTCTCACCCATGCAGAAACCAATGTGTGGCATGCATTGCATGAAGTGCCCTTATGCAATACTTAAGCCATCACTCTGATTCACTGAAGTAAAATAAGCTGTGCTTTATGAATGGACACCTATTAAATTTCCTACAGAAGCATGTGCCATCCCCAACATATGGTATTTTTTATAATGCCAGCCTTGAATTCTTCTGGAACTGCAAATATTATTCTTTTCTTGCTATAAAATAGAAAAAAGGAAAGAAAAAACTTACTTTATAATATCCATAAGTTCTTGCTTTTCCAGGTCAGCTACCCATAAGAGGAAATAAACATTAAAATTACTTGAGAGTAAGTCAATTCTAATTAATACTTCCTCCACCCACCCCTAATTACATTAATATTTTTTATTAGAGTTATTTGTGTACTTTGTGCAAATGGTAATGAACAACTCATAAATATGTACCTCTGAATGAAAGAAAAAGCAAAACAAAACTAGAGTAGTTTCAGTTGTTCAGAAGTGGATTTTAGAACTAATTAAATATTCTATATGTGTCTTCTATATATACAGGCCAACTGTTCAATATTTGAATGTGTCAGAGGAAAAGGTGCAATACTGAAAACTTTCCTTCCTTTCTTTTTAAAAATTTCTTTTCTTCCAAGAAATTGAGAAATACTAACACTACAGAGAAAAACTAGCTTTGCAGTACTCAGTACCCAAAAGTAGCTTATGATATGAACTGCTTAAAAAGGATTTTTCCAGATCATCATGTTAATGTAGCTCAGCCTTCAAGCTGACTCTTATTGAGATTTTCTCAGATTTTTGAAAACTCTTAAAATCAGGCAAAAATATTCGGTAGTAACAAAAATAGAAGAAATCTCTATACTCCACTCTGTACACAGTTCTTCCTTCATACTAAATTTTATAGTCTCAAAAATTAAAGAGGTTTATTGTTCAATCCCTGGAGTTCCTCATAATAGCTGTAGTTTGCTGGATTTGGTTTTCCAAATGCATTCATCCTGAGGGGATTTATCTGTTAAAGGAGTAACACACACTGAAGAATTGGATCAGTGAAGGACTCCGCAGAATCACTGGCCCACTCTGCTCTTGGCCTCTTCCTCAGATAACCAGCAAACCTTGCCTGGCCAACCTGCCTCAGTGTTTGTGATTATTCTTGAACCTGGTATCTCTCCTACCTGACTGCACCTTTTTCTACTTTGAATGGACCCATGTTGTATCTTGTGACTCAAATTCTCCCTAACTTGTATTTTAAATATAAAGGTCAGTGTATCTGCTTTCCAAATAGCTCTGCTCACAGAAGTATCTTTTTTTACCACTTGCAAGAACCTACCCTGATGTTTGTCCAAAGCTGTTTGAGCAACTGGAACATCTAAATAAAATACATAGAGTAATATGGTTTTCTGTAATACCTAAAATCATAATTGTTACAATTTTGTCATATTTGTATAATGACTTTCTTTTATTAATTAAAGAAATAAAATATCAGAAGGCTGCTTCTGGTGGCCAACTTCAGTCTGGTTCTTTCCCACCTTGCCAAAGTCATCACGTGATATGTGATATCAGTTTTCAGTAACCTTCCAGAAAATTTTCTTTACACATGTTTGTAGGTATAGACAGTTCATTGTATTATTATTGGGTTAAGTTGCAATAATTCTCTCTTATGGAACATATATGGATGATTTTCTTTTATATTAAAATTATTTAGATAAACTTATTTTAAAATATCCCCATGTGGATATTTATATATTTGTGCCATTTTATTTATCCTTTACTTTTCTGATTTTTTTCATTATCATAAATCATATGCCTTGAATCAAATGTATGAAATATGATATGTCAAGAGCTTTGTGATGTTTTGAACAACCAATAAAAAAAAGAAGAAAAAAAAAATAAATCATATGCCCAGAAGCATACTTGTGTATAGGTCCTTTTACCTGCTGCCTAGGGCTCTGGCAGGTGTGTATTCAGAAGTAAGATAGCCAGGCATTGTTGCTATTAAAATGGCAGTCCTTGAGTGTAGGCTGACTGGATCTGAATCCTGATCCCATCACTTATTAGCTGTATAAACCAAACATATTGAATTTCTCTTTCTAGTTATCTTTTGCCCATTCTTCTATAGAATCATCTGAACTGTAAATTTATTTTTATATTCTATATCATGTCTTTGTGTTTCATATGTATACTCCTTTGGTCAGTTATTTACACTTTTTTCCCCCAGTCAGCTCTATTAAGATACAGTTCCTGTGTAATGAAATTCATCATTTTGAAATGCATTAATCAATGAGTTTTGACAAACAATCATGTGTAGTTATGTAATTATTAACCAATCAAGATAGAATATTTTCATTATTGCCAGAAGTTCTCACACCAATCCCTCCATACCTGAAGTTCTGTTCTTGTCTTTGAACAGTAAATGGAACTACACATCACATGACCTTTGTGTTTAGCTTCTTTTAAAGAGCATAATGCACTTGAGACATATGCTTGATGTTTCACATTTCAGTTATTCAGTATGATTTATTATTAAATGGTGATTCACTATCCATATGTCATACCACTTGATTATTCATTCACCATGAAACGAACACTTACATGATATCTAGTTCTGGGTTACTTTGGATAAAATTTCTATAAACTCGTGAATGTAAATATTTATGTGAAAGTATGTTTTTAATTCTTTTGAGTAAATTTCTTGGGGATGAGATTATTTCATATGGTAACTGTATATTTAGCATTATAAATAACTGCCAATCTCTTTTCCACAATGGTTGTAACATTTTTGCATTCCAAACAGCAATGTATGAAAGTTTTCCTTGTTCCTTATCCTCAACAGCACTGTGTATATTATAATTATATAATTGTTATAATAATATAATAATTACTATTTTGCTTATTGTAGTTGGCATGTAGAGGTGCACCACTGTGGTTTTAATTTGCATTTCTCTCATGATTAATAATACTGAACAGGGGCTGGGGATGTGTCTCAAGCAGTAGCGCGCTCGCCTGGCCCGGGTTCAATCCTCAGCACCACATACAAACAAAGATGTTGTGTCCGCCGAGAACTAAAAAATAAATATTAAAAAAAATTCTCTCTCTCTCTCTATCTCTCTCTCTCTCCCACTCTTTCGTTAAAAAAAATAATACTGAACATCTTTTCATGTTCTGTCTCTGATGTCTTCTTTATTGATATCTTTTCAAATATTTAGACCATTTTTCTATTTGAGTGGTTTTCATGTCACTGAGTTATAATACTTCTTTATATATCCAAGATACAGTTCCTCTATCAAATATGGATGTTTCCAACATTTTTCCCCAGTGGTGGTTTGTCATGTCATATCTTATTAAAATCTTTGAAGAGTGTATGTGTGTGTGCGTGTGTTTGTGTGCTGTGTGTATGTGTGTGTGTGTGTGTGTGAATAAATTTTATGAAACACAAATTATCCCCAAATCTCTTAGTACATGGTACAGAATTTGGGTCAGGCCTCTTTTATATTTAATATTTTGATGTCCAACCACCCTAGTAACATTCATTGAAAAGAACACCCTTTCTCATTGAATCATCATGACACCTTTGCTAAAAGGCAGTTAATCACTCTTA